TTCTCCTGTTTCTAATAGACAAGAGTCAGGTGAGGCCCCTTCTGTATCAACACAAGCAAATGGAGAGAACCCAACAGTCTCAGAATCTGCACCTAATGGTGGCGACCATAGGAGTCCACATGAGAACACATCACCACTGCAAGAACAAGGAGGTGCAACCACTCGGGGTTCACAAGTTACAACTAACACTGAGGAGTCATACGGGACAGGGAACAAACAGTCAACAACGAACACAGAGAATACCAATATACCCATTAGTGAGAAATCAACCACCACCACCACAACAACAACAACAACACTTCCTCCTGAACTCACAAACAACAAGAAGGGTGATGCAGACAGCAGCAGCAGTATCAGCAGTTCTGTGTGGGTGCGTGTACCACTACTGATTGTGGTTACACTGGCCTGTATTCTTGTGTGCTGATTGTAGTGATGTGGTGTGACTCAGGTCATCCTTTGTTTTCTTCTTTTTTGCATGAATCCCTACAGTCTATCTAATCTTTTACCTGTTGGGATTCTCTTTTTTGTTTCTTAATGTTAATGTGTTTTGTGTGTGTTTTTGTTCTCTGTGTGTTTATCCTATAATTATTATTATTGCTACTCCATTGTGTGTGTGTGTGTTCTTGGAGACTCTCTGTGTCCACCTGGGCTTGCACTGTGATGATGATGAACTGCTTTTTGCAGTGAGAGGAAAAGGAAATAATAATAACAGATGCATTTGTATCTATAATTGCTTGTATACACACATATAGAATTACATCCATAGTTGGTGTATATTTTTGTGTTTACTTGGATAAATTGGGCTAATGGTTAATATCTTTTTTGTTTGCTTGTGTTTTACTGGTTCGCTGAGCCTTTTTTGAGATATTTGTGAGTGTGGGTGTTTTTTTGTTTTTACTCTTACTGAGGTTATTGGCCTGTATTGCATTCTTTAACTGGTGTGTTTTTCCTTTGTGATGTGAGTTTCCATAGTGGTAATTGATTTTTGTGTGTCCTAACGTGTTTGATACTTCATTTTATTTTCTTTTTTTTGCTCTTCGGTTTTCTTGCTTTCTAGATCAGTGTTTTTACCCAATCCAAACTATTGTCTCTCTCTCATGATGATGATAATACGCCGTGTGATGTGTGTGTTGGCCGTTGTGCTGTGCTGCGCCTGCGGGTATACCATGACGGCTGCTGCTGCTGTTGATAATGACAGTCCCAGTGGCCGTGGTGTATCCCGTGGGGCTGTGGAGGTGTCGTGCGGGGCCGGCGGTGCGCTGCGTGTACGCCCCGCTGCTGAGAGCGAGTGGCTTACATGCGGTGCGGGCAGCCGTGTGTCTGCATGTGGGAAGTACGCAGACCTCTGCCGCAAGCGTACCGCAAGAGCAGCAAGAACAGAAACAAGGACAGCAATCATTGCTAATGAAGAAAACATTAAGCCGTACGCAGGTGAAGGTAATGCTGGAAGTCATTGGGAATGGGATGGTTTTCCTTTTCTTTCAGAAGACGACATCAAAGAGAAGGCCAATTGGGACAAGTGTAATAAGTCCGAAACACGTGAAGTTCCCGGAGTAAACTGTTCGATTTGGAAAGAATTTAGAAAGGAGACTTCCAGTCAACCAATCGCCATTGACAGTCAGGAACCACATACGCAACAACTACAGAGAGAAGAATCAGCCAAAGAAAAGGCGGGAGAGAGTGCATCTGGTACTGAAATCAGAGGTGGGGATACTACAGCCGGTGGGGTGCCACTCAAAGATCCTGTTTCGGAACAACATCCGCCAAGCAAAACTCAGGAGTCTACTGTAGCTATACAAGGTGTTCAAGACTCCTCGGATAACACAATGGAGAATACTACAGTAAGTGACTCTAATCCTGTCCCGCAATCTCCTTCATCTGCAAGTACGACAGCAATATCAAGCTCGGAAGGAACAAATACCACTACTCCGGCTAGCCCCGAGAACACTACCACAGAAGCACCAACCACTACTCAGCCGAGCACTAAGAACACTACCACAGAAGTATCAACCACCACTCCATCTACTGTACCCAACGCAGAGATGAGCAACAACATCGCCTCCACCTTGCAGAAAAAGGCTAATGTTGACAGCAGTGTCAGTTCTGTGTGGGTGCGTGTGCCACTACTGATTGTGGTTGTGTTGGTCTCCGCTACCCTGTACTGAACAGTGGGACTCATCTGAGGACAAATAATAATAATGGTTAATCTAACATTATCATAATTGCCTACATCCCCATGGGTGAATGAATGAATAATCTCTTTACCATATTTCTCTTTTAATTGGAATTTCTTTGCTTTTCTTTTGTGTGTGTGTTCTTTTTCTATTAATTCCATTACTTGCTTTCCTGTTGTGTGTGTTTGCAGAAAACTGGGCTGTTCTGTTCACTGACGGTATACATCTCTTTCTAGTACACACAGATGTGTGTGTGCAGTAATTTATTAAATATAAACTAGAGCCATGGGGTATTGTGTCTGTTTGGGTGTTTGGCTCTCTTTCTTATTTGGGTATTGTGTGGTGTTTTCTTTTTCTATTAAGGGATACATATTATTATCATTCAAGCGGAATATTCCTTTTTCTTGCTTTACTGTGCAGTTGCTGATTCTCTCTCTCTATCCCACTGTGAGTATTTGTGTCCTGCATCCACTCACTATGTGTGTCCCTTTCTCTCTTCCTTTTTCTTTCTTTCTTTCTTTTCCACACTCCCTGTGTAGATCTGTGAACTCAAGTGACAAGAAAGACAACAAGAAGAAGAGTGACGATGGCCGTTATGATGATGCGCCGTGTGATGTGTGTGTTGGCCGTTGTGCTGTGCTCTTTGGTTGTGAGTGGAGCCACAGAGGCTGTCGATGGTGAAAATGAAATCAGTGAAGAACTGAAAACCATTACTGATTTAGCAGGAAGAGCCGTTGAGTTTGTAAAGGCAAGGAATGTGACGAAGGAGGAGACTTTGAAATTGAAAGATCAATGCAATGCAGCTGCAGAACAAGCCACATACTTAACCAGTAAAGCCAAAGAGTTTGTCGCGGAAATTAATGAGTTGGTTGCAAAAGCGGAGACTGACGTATCCGATCTGGAGGTTGAGAGGCTGAAAGGTGTTAAACTTCTCGAGAACCTGAGGTGGGTCGTAGCCAATGCACGAGATACCGCAGTGCTAACTAAAGGAACAAAAATGCCAATGATTGAAATGGGAGAGAATGCTCGTAATCTATTATATGAATTTAAGAGATTACATGAGAACCTTAAAAAAACCACTGAGAACAAAGACCCAGCAGTTCCACAAGATGAACGCAAGAACAAAACACTCAAGCAGCTTCACGAAAAGGTAGAGGCCGCATTCCCTTATACCGATGACAAGAGTCTGCACCATTTCCTCTTTGCTGGTATCGATGCCGCAGATGAAGCACAGAAGGCGGCACTAAACGCTGAAACTATTGTGAAGCGTGCGCAAGAAGCTGATAACCTTTTGCAGGATGCCTTGGGGAGACTTAGTACTGCAGTTACTGCTGCCAAGGAGAGAATTAAAGAAATAACACCACAAGAAAACCAAGGATCATCAAATAACACAGAGGATCAGAGTGCCCCTAGCGACTCCAATCCTACCCAGCAACCATCACCTGCAAGTACGACTGCTATAACAGGCTCAAAAGAAACCAATACTACTACTCCACCGAGCACTGAGAACACTACCCCAGAAGCACCAACCACCACTCCATCTCCTGTTGCTGTACCCGACACAGTGATCAGCAGCAACACTATTGCCTCCGCTGTACAGAACAAGGCTAATGCTGACAGAAGTGTCAGTCCTGTGTGGATGCGTACTGCAGCTCCGCTGTTGATTGTGGCTGTGTTGTTCTCCGTTACTGTGTACTGAACAGTGGGACTCATCTGAGGGTAAATAATAATAATGGTAAAACTAACATAATCATATTTGCTTATATCCCCCATGGGTGAATAAATTAATAATCTGTTTACCAGCTTTATCTTTTAATTCAAACTTCTTTTTTTTTCTTTTACTTTTATGTGTGTGTGTTCATTCTTCTAATAATTCCATTACTTGCTTTTCCCGTTGTGTGTTTGCAGAAAACTGGGCTGCTCTGCTCACTGACGGTATACATCTCTTGCTAGTACACACAGATGTGTGTGTGCAGTAATTTAATACATAAACTAGAGCCATGGGGTATTGTGTGTTCTTGGAGACTCACTGTGTGTGCCTGGCCCTGCACTGTGATGATGATAAAGTGTTTTTTGCAGTGAAACAAAAGAAATAATAATAGCAGATGAATTTGTATTTATAATTGCTTATATATACAAACACATATAGACTTGCACCCATAGTTGGTGTATTTCTATGTGTTTACTGTGTAAATTGGGCTAATGTTTAATATCTGTTTCTTTGTTTGTTTGCTTTGTTGTGCGTGGGTCATTGTGTGCTTTTGCCCTGCAAGGTTTTTGGTAATCTGTTTTATAAGAGCAAAGGAACAAATAGTAGTTAATACAATTTGTATTCTTATGTACTTGAACAGACCATCATACTCAGTGGTCTGTGAGTTATTTTTGTGCAGTTGGTTCTGTTCTTAATTTGTGTTTTTTTTTTGTTTTCTTTGCTGGGGCACTGTGTGCTTTTTCCTGCATAGTTGTGTGTTGGAGTGTTTTGTGCAGTGAGAAAAAATGATAAAAAATACATAAGTATATTTGTAATTGTGCTTGGTTCGACCAGAAGAGGCATTTTGACTTTATTGCTATGCCTGCTTCTGATGGTCGTTCTCTTAATTTTTTTCTTTTGGGGTTAATTGGGATTGTCTGTTTGTTTTTGGGTATTGTATGCGTTTTTACTTTTATTTGGGCACTATCTGAGTTATGGTTGCACCTTTTTTTCATATGTGTGCTTCTGCTGTAATTGTTGAGTGTTGTTTGATTTGTTGAGTGTCCTTATTTTCTTGTGTACATTGATTCACTTTGTTTCTGGTTTTTCTATCTGGTTTTCTGTAAGCGATTGAAGTAAGACTACTACAAGAAGTATTGTAATGATAATGATGATGCGCTACGTGCTGTGTGTCCTCGCTCTCCTGCTCTCATGTGCGTGTGTGCACGTCCTCGCTGAAGAAGTGCCTGCCGCCGATCTTTCCGACCAAGTCCCTGATACGGAGAGTGAGACAAAGATTCTTCTTCAAGGTACTCCTGTCAGTTGCTCTACTGAAGGTACTGGACCTTCTGTTGACGGTGAATCTTGTGCTGAGGCTGCTGCTGCTGGTGCTGGTGCTCAAGAGCATAACTCCAACGGTCAGAACAATCAATCTGCAAGTGGTCAACAGCAGGGTGCTGGAGGTAGTGGCCTATCTTCTCAGACGAGTGAACCGGGTCGTGTAGCTGAAGCCACTACTACTCAAAACGAGAGGAGGAATAAGTTACCAGGTGCAGAGGATGGTGCAGGAAGGAGTCAAGGAAGTCAACAGCAGCAAGAGAGCAGTCAAGATTCCATAGAAAGTAAAGAAGCAACTCCTGGGGTGACAGAGAACTCAAATCAAGAAGGTTCACCACAGCAACCTCAACAAACTGGTGATACATCCAATGACAGTAGCGCAGTCAACACCAGTGCAGCCAGTGGAGAAGGTACAGCTGCACAATCATCTCCTACTTCTGCATCTTCTCAAACTGATGGAACTGCGGATGGTGGTAATTCTNGCCGCCGATCTTTCCGACCAAGTCCCTGATACGGAGAGTGAGACAAAGATGCTTCTTCAAAGTCCTCCATGCCCTGCAGGTACCACTGATTCTTCTCGTAATTGTAATCCTTCTGCTGAGGTACCTGAACGTGCTGTTGATGGTGATCCTGAGTGCAATTCTGATGCTTCTGAACCTTCTGAAAGTCCTAAGCCATGTCCGAAAAAGACCGAAGCTCCTCCCAAAGTGCCTGAGGTACCAAAAGAGGTGGTTCCTGAGAAAAAAGTACCGGCTGCTCCTCCTAAAAAACCCGAAGTTCCTCCTGTTACTGTACCTGAGGCTCCAAAAGAAGTTGTTCCTGAGAAAACACCTCCTGTTGTTCCTCCCAAAAAACCTGAAGTTCCTCCTGCTAAAGTACCTGAAGCTGAGGTACGTGAAGTTCAAGGTCAAGATAGAGCTAGTGGTTCTTCTGGTCCTCGTGGTGAAGGTCTTGGAAATAGTGGTGCTTCTGCTGGTGATCCTGGTACTGGACATAATCCAGCATCTGCTGAACCTAGGGCAGATGCCACTGAGGCTGCTGATCCTGCGGGTGAGGTGCAAACTGAAGGGAACGGCAACAATGCAGGAGGTGGAAGTGCGGCTAGCCAAGGAAGTGGAGCACCACAAACTTCTTCTTCTTCTTCCAACAACACAACAACGGGGACTGCCGGAGCTGCTGATACTGAAACAACAGAGAGCGGCACTTCATCTGCAGAGAGTGAATCATTAAACAACCAAAATGAGGGAGGAAATACAGAAAACACCACCACCACCACAACTACACCCAGTAATGAGGAATCAACCACCACCACAACAACAACAACACTTCCTCCTGAGCCTGCAAACAACAAGAAGGGTGATGCAGACAGCAGCAGCAGTATCAGCAGTTCTGTGTGGGTGCGTGTACCACTACTGATTGTGGTTACACTGGCCTGTATTCTTGTGTGCTGATTGTGTGGTGGTGATGGTGTGACTCAGGTCATCCTTTGTTTTCTTTTTCTTTTCTTTTTTGCATGCATCCACACTACATTCTAACTAATCTTCCACCTATTGGGATTATCTTTTTTTTTGTTTTTTAATGTTTGTTTTGTGTGTTTTTGCTCTCTCTATGTTTATCCTATAATATTTATTATTATTGCTACTCCATTGTGTGTGTGTGTGTGTGTGTGTGTTCTTGGAGACTCTCTCTGTGTGTGCACCTTGGTTTGCACTGTAATAATAATGATGATGAACTGTTTTTTGCAGTGAAAAGAAAAGAAATAATAATAACAGATGAATTTATATTTATAATTGCTTGTATATACACATATAGACTTATACCCATAGTTGGTGTATATTTCTGTGTTTACTTGGTAAATTGGGCTAATAGTTAATATCTGTTTTTTTTTTGCTTGTGGTTTGCTTTTCCTCTATGTTTTGCCCTGTACCCTTTTGGTGATCTGTTTTCTGTAAAGAGGGAAAAAAAGAAAATATACATGTATAATTGCTTATGAATTCCAATATTATCATGGTTCATTGGTTTCTGTGTTTATCATGCCACTGCTCATGTTCTTAATTTCTTTTTCTTTTGTTTTGCTTGAAATTGTTTGTGATGCCCTTTTATGGGCTACTCTGTTATTTTTGCTGGTTGTGTTTTTTTTTTTGATTCTTTATCTTCTCGTTGTGTTTCCTTGTCTAATTATTACTATTATATTATAATTGTTTTTTTTTCTTTTCCTTTTTTCTTGTCGTTAGCAACGTGACGTAAAACAAACAAAATTAACTGTTGGTGTGATGTTGTTGTGTCGTGTGTTGTGTTTGCTGATGTTGCTGCTGAGTGTTGCGTCTCTCTGCGCCTCAGCGGAGACGCCTTCCCCTACTGAAGACAATCGTGGTAATTGCCCTGATGGTACTGACGATACTGCTCGTTGCTCTTCTCCTGCTGAACCTGCTGCTATTTCTGCTGCTGCTGCTAGTGCTGCCGCTTCTTGTACTGATGGTGGTGTTTCTACTGGATCTACTGGTGATACTTGTACTCCTGCAGCTCAAGGTCTACCTTCTGGATCTGGTGTTAGTGGTGGTGGGAAACCATCTACACAACCAAACACTGATCCAACAGGAAAAGAAGATGAAGGTCCTTCTGCTGGTGATCCCGCTACTCCTGATAGTGCACCAAATGTAAGAGCTGATGGAGAAGGTCGCCCTGGTGATCAAGATGAAAACAAAACTCCGGAGCTTCGAGATGGAACACGACCAGATAGTGGTCCTACTGCAGGTGAAGGTACAACTGAAATCAGCAGCAACAGTGAAGGAAGTGGAAGTGCACCATCACAGGCTCCACCTTCCTCCACCACTTCAGAAACAGCGAGTAACGGTGGTTCTAATGCTGCTACGACTGAGACTGATACAACTTCTGCAGAGAGTGAATCAACAAGGAACCAAAGTGAAGAAGGAGCAGGAAATACAGAAACAACCACTACCACCACAACAACAACAACACTTCCTCCTGAGACTAAAAACAACAAGAAGGGTGATGCAGACAGCAGCAGCAGTATCAGCAGTTCTGTGTGGGTGCGTGTACCACTACTGATTGTGGTTACACTGTCCTGTANGTGATGCAGACAGCAGCAGCAGTATCATCAGTTCTGTGTGGGTGCGTGTGCCACTACTGATTGTGGTTACACTGTCCTGTATTCTTGTGTGCTGATTGTAATGGTGTGGTGTGACTCAGGTCATCCTTTGTTTTCTTTTCTCTTTTTGCTTACATCCCTACAGTCTAACTAATCTTTCCACCTGTTGGGATTATCTTTTTCTTTTTGTTTCTTAATGTTAATGTGTTTTGTGTGTTTTTACTCTCTGTGTTTATCCTATAATTATTATTATTGCTACTCCATTGTGTGTGTGTGTGTTCTTGGAGACTCTCTCTATGTGTGTGTCTGTGGACTGCCACTGTGATAATGATGATGAACTGTTTTTTATAGTGGGAAAAAGAAATAATATCCGATGAATTTATATTTATAATTGCGTATATGTACACACACATATATATAGACTGATACCCATAGTTGTTGTGTATTTCTGTGTTTACTGTGTAAATTTGGGCTAATGATTAATATCTGTTTATTTGCTTGATGATTTTGCTGGGTGGTTCAGCCTTTTTTTGAAATATTTGTGAATGTGGGCTTTTTTTTTACTCTTACTGAGGTTATTGCGCTGTATTGCATTTTTTAACTGGTGTGTATTTCTCTTGTGATGTGAGTTGCCATAGTGGTAATTGATTGGTGTGTCCTAACATGTTTGATACTTCATTTATTTTCTTTTTTTTGCTCTTCTTGGTTGTCTTTCTTTCTAGATCAGTGTTTTTACGTGAAACAAACCCTTGTCTCTCTGACGATGATGATGGGCCGTGTGATGTTTGTGTTGGCCGTTGTGCTGTGCTGCGCCTGCGGGTATACCATGGCGGCTGCTGCTGCTGTTGATAATGACAGTCCCAATGGCCGTGGTGTATCCCGTGGGGCTGTGGAGGTGTCGTGCGGGGCCGGCGGTGCGCTGCGTGTACGCCCCGCTGCTGAGAGCGAGTGGCTTACATGCGGTTTGGGCAGCCGTGTGTCTGCATGTGGGAAGTACGCAGACCTCTGCCGCCAGCGTACCGCAAGAACAACAAGAACATCAACAACTACTACTGCTACTACTGTTAATGCTGGACAGCCAAAGGCGGTGATGGCTGAATCTGGTCGTTGGACATGGGAAGATTTTCTTGTGACAGCAATCCATGAGAATAAGTGTAGCAAGAATGACAGTAAGACTCGGATTCATGGTTTAAATTGTTCTGAGTGGCAAAAAAAAAGTGATTTTAAAAATATTAAGGCAAAGTCTCCATTCTCAGAACCAGCGAAAGAAATTAAAGATCTTTCCACTGAACCTATTCCTACTGCTCGCGTTGAGTCTGATGTAGATAGAATGAGTGGTCATGAGACAGAGAGTCCAGAACTTGAAGTAAATTCAGTTGCGGAAGTTGCTGCCAATGTCCATGATGCTGAAAGGCAAAACGCAGAAACAGGACCAACAACGTCAACAGTGCAAAGTGAAAATACGGAGTCTACTGCAGCACAACAAAGTAATCAAGGGACATCAAGCAACACATCTGTTAACGCTGTACCTGTCGATAATAATCCTTCCAAGCAGCAGTCTCCTCCAGCTGTTAATGTGACTGGCGTACCAGACTCACAAGAAACCTCTTCCAATAACGTGAGTACAGGTAACAGTACTACTGGCGCAGACATGGGTGTGAGTGCAAAGACGGAAACGGAAGAAAACACTTCCACTACTCCGGCTAACCCCGAGAACACTACCACTGAAGCACCAACCACCACTCCATCTCCATCTTCAGTACCCAACGCAGAGATCAGCAGCAACATTGCTTCCACAGTGCAGAAGAACAAGGCTATTGTTGACAGCAGTGTCAGTCCTGTGTGGATGCGCACTGCAGCACCGCTACTGATTGTGGCTGTGTTCTCCGTTACTGTGTGCTGAACGGGTGGGACTCACTTGAGGACAAATAATAATAATGGTTATACTAACATAATCATAATTGCATACATCCCCGTGGGTGAAATAAACTAATAATTTGTTTACCAGCATTCTTTTTTAATTCGAATGTCTTTTCTTTTTCTTTTGTGTGTGTGTGTTCTTTTTCTAATAATTCCATTATTTGCTTTTCCCGTTGTGTGTGTTTGCAGAAAACTGGGCTGTTCTGCTCACTGACGGTATACATCTCTTGCTAGTACACACAGATGTGTGTGGATGCAGTAATTTAATACATAAACTAGAGCCATGGGGTATTGTGTGTGTGTGTGTTTGGCTCTCTCTATTGTTTGGGTACTGTGGGATCTTTTTTTCTTTTCTATTAAGGGGTTCATATTATTATCATGCAAGAGGAATATTTCTTTTTCTTGCTTTACTGTGGTTGTTGCTGCTTCTCTCTTTTCCACTGTGAATATTTGTTGTACTGGTGTATGTTTGTTTCTATCTCATTTATTTCCTTGTTTCTCTTTCTTGTATCAGTTTATTGAAGTAAAACAACAACAATGACAAAGGCTGTAATGGCGAGGTGTTATCTGCTCTGTTTATTAACTCTTGCACTTTGTTGTGCTTGCGGATTGGTATGGGCTGAACCAATCAAGTACACTATGAATCAAAGCGGTATGTTGGTCGTTTGTTTTCCACCATCGGAGGCTGTTCTTCTTCCTGATGGAACTCCTGACTGTGTTGTCAAAGATCGTAAAATCGAAGAACCTGAAAGTACCTCTGACAAGGTAACACAACAAAGGGAACAACAGTTGAACGAAAACAAACCAGTAGGTGCTGAAACGGGGAGGGAATCACATCCGGATACACGTGAATCAACAAATGGAGAGAACAAAGACTCAAAAGGATCTAGTGCTAATGAAAGGAAAGAGATATCTGCTAATGCACCTCAGAGTTCACCTGAGACTTCTTCCAACACTTCACCCTCACAGGAAGCAACCGTTCATCAAACTACACAGGAATCCAAAGATACTCCCAATAAACAAGGTCCTGCAGCTACTAGTGGTGAACGTTCTAGTGAACCTTCTGGTGGAGATGCTGCTTCTCCCAATACATCCTCTACACCTGGTGATGGCAGCAGTAGTGCACCTGCACGTAACGGTCAACTAGACGGTGCAGCACCACAACCTTCTTCTCCTTCTCCAACCAATTCAGCCACAGAGAGTACCAGTGGATCTGATACTTCGAATACTGAGAACGGGACTTCGTCTACAGGGAGTGAGGCAACAAGTAACCAAAATGAGGGAGGAAATACAGATACCACCACCACCACCACAACAACAACAACACTTCCTCCTGAACTCACAAACAACAAGAAGGGTGATGCAGACAGCAGCAGCAGTATCAGCAGTTCTGTGTGGGTGCGTGTACCACTACTGATTGTGGTTACACTGTCCTGTATTCTTGTGTGCTGATTGTAATGGTGGTGGTGTGGTGTGACTCAGGTCATCCTTTGTTTTCTTTACTTTTTCTTGCTTGCATCCCTACAGTCTAACTAATCTTCCACCTGTTGGTAATTTTTTTGCTTTATTTTACTGTTTTTTGTTTGTTTTTATCCTATATATGGTACTCCATTGTGTGTATGTTTTTGGGATGTTGTGTGCTTTTCTTTCCACCAATGACAGCTTGCCTTGTGCAATGAGAGAAAACATATATAACAGATACACTTTGTTACATATATTATTAAGTTTACAACGTTTTACATTGATAGTAATTGTATTTGGCGTTTACTGTAGAACATGGGCTACCTGTTTTTTTTTTTTTTTGCTTGAGTTGCGTTTGTTTGGATTGTTTTGTCCAGAGAGGAAAAGTAAAAGCAAATATATATTATACATATAAATATATATATTAATAATTTCCTATACGTGACTATAGAAGGATGTACTTTTGTAGTACTGTATGTGCTGTGGCAGCTGATTCTGTTTTTTTTAATTTTTTTGCTTCTTTGATTTCAGGTTGGGGGTCCTCCGCAGTACAGTGGGATGTGTGCATTCTCTTTTTTCACTGGAGTCGTACTGATGATTGGTACTGTAAACATGGTTTTTTGTGTGGGACTATTTTCTCTTGTTGTTGTTACATTTTGTATTATTTCTCTGCTGCACTGTTGTAATCTCTCCTATT